TCCTATGAGGGCAATTCAGCTAATAATGTGATGCTGTCATTAGATTTTTGTAAGTCTTTTCATGGAACTGAATTAAGCAATCCAAAGAAACCCTTTACAGGTGGAACCTCAATTTGGGGTTAGGAAGTATTTGTCAGTGATCAACAGTGACACTTGGTAGATGTCCCCTGCACATGAGGCCATCTTTAAAAGAGATTTCTTTTTGCCCTCGTCCCTTCCAGCCGAGGGAGCCTGCGGCGGAACCCTGCGGGGCACGAGCAGCACCATTTCCAGCCCTCACTTTCCCTCGGAGTACGAGAACAACGCGGACTGCACGTGGACCATCCTCGCCGAGCCCGGGGACACCATCGCGTTAGTCTTCACCGACTTTCAGCTGGAGGAGGGCTACGACTTCCTGGAGATCAGCGGCACGGAGGCGCCGTCCATTTGGTGAGTCCGGGGAGGAAACCCACTTTCTTCCCGTTTCCTGTGTACGCGGGGTGAAACCGCTTCCCTGAAGAGTCGGTGCTCAGCGCGGTGGTTCTTTCTTGGCCTTGCTGTCTGGCTGCTAAAAGGTCATCTGCACTGTGACTGACTTCAAAGTCTCTAAGCTAGCTTCGTGCTCACATTTGGAGCAGGGGGGACTTCTCTGTGCCCTGGCTGCTTCTTTGGAACTTAGTGGCCCACATCTAGGCTCTCATAAAGCCACAGGGAAGGTGGTAGCTAAGCGAGGTAAGTTTCGGATTGGGCCCGGAGTCGATTCAAAGACATCAGATGTTTTTAGACTGTGGACACTTTAAGATGTGGCGTTACCCACTGTTGATCTGCTCTCATTAGTCCGCGTACACATTATGTCGGCCGGCTGGCGAGCAGCACTCTGGCGTGTAGGCTCGTGATGCTAGTAGAGCCAGGAAAAAAAAAATGCTCATCAATTACAGTCGATTTAGGTTTATGATGTTGGTGTCCAGAAGACCGTCAGCTGCGTCTCTAAGCACAATTGGAAAAGGAGAATTCAAAGCATTGGAAAAGGAGAATTCAAAACATTGAAAGGCTTAAAGTCTATCATATCAAGTCATTTGCTGGAGATCGAACTGTTTTTTTTTTTAATTGTTTCATTGCTTAGAGTTTTCAAAACTGAGTCAGTTTCAGATCTTGAATATGTGTAGATCGAAATTTAGAAGGGACGCAGAGGGAAACTGACCGTCTGTGCAGTGATGGCAGAGAATGGGGAATAAGTGACCGCGAATATTTCTATGGGCTGAAGTTTGCATTTCAGTACAAAGACTAATAGATAAAGATATCAAACCTAAGGCATGTCACACATTAGAGCACCTGTTTTAAGCCAGTTATTGATATTCAATTTAATTTTCCAAGACTCAAGACTCAAAGCAGAAGGTTCATATTAATGGATAAATTATTTCCTTACATGACTTTTACTGGTTCTACTGTGCTTATGTTAAATGCTACCTCAGTTAAGAAAAAAAAAAAATGGCCACTATCTTCATAATCTTTGTTTTACATTTTATTCATATTGAATAATAGTTTTAGATTAGTCTGACTTACCTATTTATTTATTTTGTTAGACAATTTTATCTTTAAACATTCAAGAATTTATTGCTATTATCTATCTCGTTCTGTGTAATATAAAGTTAGTGGAAACAGATCGCGGACTGACAGCTGGATGTCTAAGATTCTACCCCCCATTCTGCCACAAGCCAACCTCGTGACCTTGGCAAATCCTTTAACTGGTTACATAAAACAGGGGCTGTGCTGCGTGAACTTTTTAATCAATTCATTAAACATCTGCTGAGCACCTGTTCTCTCTCAATCACCAAAAGAGATTCGGCAAGACCGCATTCTCTTAGTTTTAAAATCACACTTTCGGTTTCCAGAAAATCATCGCAGTGTAAAATACATGGTGTCCGGTTCTCAGAAAGTATACGATTAAGGGAAAAAAGACTTCATTTATGAGCGATTCTAGAGATAATTGGTATCGACTGTCTACCTCGCCGGTTAAGACGTCAGGTTGGGAGAGAGAGATGAGAAAGTGCTCCGTATTTGACAGTGATTTTAGAGTCCACGATCAGATCAGGACAGCTTTTGGGAACAAACTTACTTTACGTAAGAAAGAAAACGGTAAGGCGCACGTGTCCACATCTGAGTCTCCGATGTAAACGAAGGCTGTGAAACAGGCCGATGACGTCGCCGCGCAGCCCCGAGAAGGGCCCCCAGCGCTGGCCCACGCCGTCGGGGCCGCCACCAAGCGGGCGTGGCGTCCTCGGTTCCCTCTCTGCCCTGAGACGAGCGGCCAGCCGCGGCCACAGGCGGGGCTGGGCCTTGGTGGTGCCCGTTCTTTCCTCACGCCCACCGGTTCCCCTGGAGCCTTCCGTCTGCTCCTCCTCTCTCTGTGCTGTCCCCTGCCACGTGCCCCCGCGTGCTCGGAGAGCGCGTGCCGAGGGGTCGCGTGAGAGCGCGCGTCGCGTTCTGTCTGGAGCGTCGAGTGGGTCGTTCGCACCTGCGGGGCTGGCAGCTGGGGAAACGGACCCGTCTCCTTGGCGTCTGGGTCGGGCTCGGAGGTGCTTCTTGCCCCTCGAAATCAGCCCAGGCGTGTGCCGGGACACCGGGACTGGTGACCTGGGAGCACATTGGAGAGACCAGGGTGGCCATCGGGAAGGTCGCGGGCGCGGACGTTGACCCTGTGCCCTCTGGTCGGAGGGGCCGGCCTGCCTGCTGGCCGACACGCTGGCTCTTGGCAGGCGTTGTCAGCGGGACAGCCGCGCTCTGCGTGACTTGGTGTCCTGCTGGCTTGGAGCGAGAGCCCCACGGGTATAATCGGTACTATCTGCCCCGTATTGATGAAGACCCCGAGAGGCATAAAGGACAGGAGCAGGCGAAAATGAGACATCACGCGGCAGAGCTAGAGCTCACTGAGGTCTGTGCGTCCGCGTCACCCGTCCACCTTACTCTGCCGTCCTCACGGGACAGTCGGGGTCTGAGCTGAACGCCCGGCGGGGAGACCCCTCTCCTCGGCGTCGGGACTTCGGGTTGGATGCCAGAGCCTTGAGCAGGGGGCTCACGGGGGAGGCGGCTGACCGAAAGCCCATTTCTCCACGTGCTGCATCCACGGACGGTCAGGGAGGACAGCTCCTGCCGTGACCCCCGGCGCTTACCACAGTTGCAAAAATATCTCAGTATCCCGGCATGGCCATGGGACCACTTTTTAAATACAACTCTCACCTTCCGGTGACTCTTCCGTGGAGGCGTAGAAAGCACAGGAGCACATTCACAGTACGAAAGGGAATCGCTCCAGGTCCGCTTGAAAATGTATGCCAATGCGTAACGCGGCTTGTCTTACAAAGACTGTCATTTTAACATAATTTCAGAGTGAAAGTCTCTGAAATGGTTCCTGGCCCAAACTGGTACATTTAAAAGACTGACGCATCCCCGGACTGCAAGAAAAATCCTAAGCAGCGACGTAGGTGGCGGTGCCCGGGCTGGGCAGTGGCCGCTTGGAGAGCGGTGACGGCCGTGAGCAGAGTGAGTACACACACACACACACACACGTGTAATTTTCCAATAATCTGTTTTTAAAAGACAGAATATATAAGCAAGGGCACTCTGAGAAGAAGCTACTTGGAAAACTGTTAACAATAATAGGATTAGCCTTATTTTCATTTAATTTCGAGTGAAATTACCAACTCAGCTATGTTCTGTGTAAGGGTTGCCATGGCTACGGTAGAGGCAGCCTAAAAGTGGCGAATGATGTAATATGCCAAAATTATCCGTATATTAAATGTGGAGGGGTTTGTAATTTCAGCCTAATTGACTATATGTGCATCAGATGAGGCTGATTTTTTTTTTTTTTAACTAGTCAGATTCTAATTTTACACAGACTGGTTTTCTGTCAATACCCACATTAACAGAAAGCTGCCATTTCGAGTTCTCTGTGCAACACGGTCTAGTAATTATGATTTTTCTTGCAATTAAAAACACAGTTAATAGGGAAGCTGAGCAAGCTTTCTCTCTGAAGTGATTTGATGGCGTAGCATATGAATATGACTCATAACTCTGGAAATACCAAGAAGAAAGAGAATTGATTTTATTTCAGAGTTAAGCTACTATGGTTTCTAAATTAAGACATAGTGGTTAAAGGGATTGGGAATATATAGTTTTGACAGGAAACAATTAAGGGGGTATTTACGTTCTTTCATATAAGCGAGAATGAGTTATCTACCCCCTTCTGTGACAAGGTGTACACGTAGGGTACAAAAGCAACAAAGAACAAATGCCTTTAGAATGTGTCCCCAAACATACTTCAGAGTATCAATTCCTTAAAAACCTTCAAAGACTGAGCTTCGGGTCATGAAATAAAACCGAAAAGCCCGAGCCTGCCTTTCGAAGCCTGTCACTGCCGGGGACTAGCTCTCCACCCTGCCGCCACACTGAACGTGTCCCAGGCTTCACCCGAGCTCCCTTCGGACCCCTTGCATGCGCGTTCAGATAGGTGCCTCCACGTGCAAATCCCACATGACCCAATTTAATGTTGATTGAATTAAGATGGTGCTGAGGGTGACATACAGATGGCAGAGCACTTCAAGAAGTAATACACGTGGACCAAGGAGTTTGTATAATCTCCCTCCCAGACAGTCAGTGGTAACAAACGCGAGAAATCCTCTTGGCCGGTTTCGGTTAGATCTGCCTCATGATTCCAAGAAAAAGCCTGTCGCTTTGTGATTTTTATGAGGCTTTCGTTCAATCATTGACTAAGCAGCGTCCTTCTACCCCTCTGCCTGTCTGAACTGGGCAAGGTTACACTTGTGGGAGCAAAATAAGTTGGGGAGCTACACTTTATTTTGTTCCCATTAGACTGGCACAATTTCACTGCTCAATCAAGCTAATCAGTGACTCTCTGAAGCCAAAACAAAACTTCAAAGGAGGCGGGGAAGCTGAGTGAGCTTCAGAGAAGCCTTGAAGGGTCGATTAACACCCACGGTGTTTATGCAACTTGTCACTTAATTGGCAATTGACTTGGTGTATATTTAATTTCTAATGAGGAAGGATTATAGAGACACACACTCAGTAATAGGCTCCCTGAAATCAACTCTTCCGCTCGCCCCCCAAGGTACAAAGAAGGGGGTCCCGTCTCCTCCCCTCTTCATTCGATTGAACTGTTCATTTGGAAATCGTTTTAGAGAATTTGCAAAGCTAGCTCCGGGGGTTGCTTTAAAAGCCGCAACCCAGCTTTTCCTGACGTTTATCATCTTACGCGACCAGAGCGTAATTATGGAAACCCAGAAATTAGCCCGGGTCGGGGGAGACTGGCTACTGTGCAGGCCTGATCTGACTTTCCTGGCTGTCCTGCCGACACCCAGGCGCACAGTCGAGGCCACGTCACTCTGCCCATTACCGCCGACTAAAATAACTGGGTTTCTTTCTTTCGAGTTTCCCAT